AGGAGCTTCTGGGTAAATATCAATTAATGCTTCAATTTCAAAATTTGTTATTTACTTTCTCTTTATAATGTTCTTTTTTCTAGTAAACCTTTGTTAATATTTTTTAGTGTGGTCTCACAAGCCCACCAGCACGCCTCCCCTTCGCTTGTTCAAAGTCCATAACCACCACCTCGTCATCCACGGTGGCGCCACTAATCAACAACAAAGCACCACTATCAATCACACCACCTCCTTGAAACAGAACATTTTTAGTTTTTAAACTATTTTTTACATTTTTTTAGTTTTACTGGAGTTAATGCATTAAATTTGTCTATATGTATTTTTAGTTCTTAAACTTCTAATATATATAAATTTTTAGCTTCTAAACTTAAAAATAAGCATATACAAATAGATTTAATGGGTTAACTAATAAAATCATTAAAAAAATGTATTTTTTAATAATTTAATGATAAAAAAGTACAATAAATAATTTATAAACTAAAAATATTCAAAATAAAAGTTCAGAAATTTAACCTTGAAGAATTTACTTTTTTAAGCTAATTGCATTTTAACTTCCTGGTCAAATGATGAATTGGCTTTTCTCCTTTCGGTTTTCTTTTTCATTTTCCTCTTCCTTTTTCATTTTCCTCTTCCTTTTTCATTTTCCCTTCCTTCACCTTCACAAAAGTAAACATTGTGATTCGTTAAAAAAGGAAAAAGAAGGAAGAAAAAGAAGATAAGTTATGGATTGGGCTGGAAATAAACAAATAGAACTCAGCCTATATGGTCGGTCCTCGGCCCAATCAAATGGTGAAGCACACAGACTTTTCTCTTTTTGTTTTCCTTCTCATTTTTAAAGCAGTTTCTGGCAATCAACGACTGGAAAAATAAAATGTGTAATCGATTAATCGTGGAGTATTACTTACCAACAAGAACCATATCAGCTATGTGGTTTGGCAATAAACTTATTTGTGTTTTTAACAGTAGGTTTAGAACTCAATCTCTAATTTTTATGTATAAAAAGGAAGATTATTTACCAACAAAAACAAAAAAAATGGAGGATTAGTTGACAGGTTGAAGTGGTTAATAAAGAGATAGTTTTACATAAGTTTTTTAGTTCTGGCATTAAAGAAGTACACATAACATTTTCTTAGAAATACACTCTTGGATAAACTACTGGAGTTTAACTCAATTGATTAAGGAGTGATTGGAATCAAATTGAGAGTGCAGGGAATTCAGATCACTCGAATGCCGTTGGGAACTTTGCTTTGTCAACACACTACTTACATTTTGATACAAAAATATCAAACGAATGAATCTCTTTTGGTGTCAGCACTGTCATGGCATTTTTTTTTCTTGGCCAGCCTGTCATGACATTTTTTGCTGCGCTGGCCATAAGCCCCACTTTTCGTAAATAAAATCTTCAACAATAATATGAATTTTTTTTAACGGTCAATGTATTTTGAAACTAATTTATGCACATCAAATTAATACCTCCTCAATTTAGTTAAAAACAAATCATTAACATTATGATTAAAAAATTTATGAAAAATTAATTATTTTCTTATTGGTTTCTTAAGGAATCAAACCCTATCTAATAAAGGAGGGAGCAAACTATATTGTTAATTAAACCACAACTTCTTAAATAACCATAATATGAATAATAGTGGTAGAAATGTCTTCTGAGAGCAAGAAGAAATGCTTTTTTTTTAATGGTTATAATTTGGGGTAGGAGTAAGAGAGATATTTACACAGTATTGCAATAGTTCAAATCTTATTACTGGCAAATCAACTCGCTGGCCTATAAGGCCTTGTGTTGAAAAAAAAAAAGGAAAAAAAAAGAGAGCTCTGTTTGAGTTTGTACTTTGTACCCAAAGAAAAAAATTAGTGTTTTTTTAACATGTATCTTAATTTATAATATGTTTAATTAAATTTATCTACATAAATTAATACTAAAATTAATATTTACTTTTATATATTTTTTATATAAATTTATTGTAAAAAGATGACATTAACCAATGCTTTAAGAACATATATTAAAAAAATCTAAAAAATTATAACAACTACGAAGAAGGCTCTCCATTAAATTTCAAAAGGCCCGGTTTGGTTTTAGTCTGTGCTAGTATGTAATTAATTTATGTGATTTTTGACAGTTACGAAGGAGACTCTCCATTAATAACACTTCTCCAGATACCATTTTCTTAGTTGAGTGGTAAGTGCAGTTATTACTCCAGCCTTCATTGTCTCAAGTGTACTTTTATTTTAATTTAAAAATAAAAAATAAACTAATAGAAGAGGAATGCATATGCGCTTGGACTTAATATTAAGTGTGCATAGCACTCCTCTAGTTTGTAATTAATTTATATGATTTTTAGCTATTGAAATTTTAATCCAATATAATTAATTAATTTGATGCTATCTTTCAAATTGATCAATCAAGGGCACCATTACCATACCAAAATTTTTTTAAAAAAAAGAAAAAGGAAAAAAGAAAAGAAGTAATACCCAGAGTAGAAAAGCCAAAAGTAAGCTTTATTGAAGAACATGATCTTGGTATATTTTCAATTAATAAAGATCTTTATAATAACCACCGATTAGACAATTCTCCAAGCACAAGGAAAGGATAAAAAATGCATAAGCATGCTGGACCACTCACGATTGCTATAAATATATAGAATACAATTCATCAACAACTAACTTAAAAGTAGAGGCCTGATTTACTAACATCAAACAAAAATTAAAAAGATTTTAATATCGAAAGAAGAAAGAAAAAAAAAAAGAGTTCATATAATATGTAACAAAAAAGAAAAAATGTTAAAGAAAGCCTGTCGACCTAGTGGTCCAACAGCTTAATGTAAACTTTTTTCATTGTGGCAAGGTTCCATCCCCTCTCTTGAACCACTAGCCCAAATAAATAAATAAATAAATAAATAAATAAAAAGAAAAAGTGTTCATAAATCATAATGATAATTAATTCCTGCCTAGCTAGAGGCCTCTAATCAATTTTACACCTCATAACACATATCTCTAAAAATGTTATCTAAAATGAAATTCCTTGCTTGCACCTGGCCCTTGAGGCCTAGTGGCATTGCCACCGGTGCATTTCCTCTCTCCCCGCGCAGGGTTCGAAATCCGCTCCTTGCAAAATATGTTAAAAAAAAAAAAAAAAAATTCCTTGCTTCAAGGAAAAGGATTCGATAAAGAGTTGCACTCAAGACTTTTATATATCCATGTGCATTTTAAAACTGGAATATACACTGTTCTTCTTGGTTTGCCTTCTGCAGCAGCTTTAGCAGCTTTATTCGAAGATTTTCAAAAATTTCGGTGCTTTGGGTTAAACATCTAAAAATTTAGAAAGAAAGGGAGGAAATAATGGGAATCTAGGTGAATATGTAAGTTCGTGGTTGCTGGAGTAAAGAGCTGGATATGGTATAGAGGTAATTTTCTTTTCTTTTTTTCTTGGGCAGGTTATAGAGGTAACTATTTATTTCATATATTTAGAGTATATGCGAATAATAATAACGCATCATGAGTCAAAAAAAAAAAAAAGAGAAAATAATATTTGATTTGGGAATGGGAATTTAATTCTTGAATAATATAAAATCCAGGATTTATCGAAGAGGAATAAGGAAAACACAACTAGCGAGATAGCTTCTCTTATTGGGTATATGCTTTTAATTTCTCATATTATTCTTCTTTCTTGATTGTGTTTATATTACTTTAGTTATGTTCATTTTTGACCAAATTTTATACCATGCTTATGTACGTTTTCATCTCTGTTTTATTATTTTTTTTTTGGGGGTAGAAATTACAAATTTTACAGTTTTTTTCTTTTTATGTCCACAAATATACATGAAAAATTTTTTAGCAACCTTTTATATAGGAGAAAAATGTTTATTAGTTGAATTTTTAAAAAATTAAAAAAATCTTAAAATTACATTATTTTAATACTTAAATAACTTATTTTTAAGCAAAAATATGTGTTTTGGTCTTTTGATACAATAATTTATTAAAACGACATAGTTTTAAACTTAGTTTAAGAGCGTAGAGTTGTAATTATAATAGTTGGTTTTTTAGTTTTTTAACATCTTAAAAATATTTAAAATATATTTAATATTTACTTTGATTAATATTTTATACATTTTTAGAACAATAAAAGGATATAAAAATTAAATGCAAAATATAAAAAAAAATTCTCAAACAAAACTTTTAAATAATTTTTCTCTTAATTTTTTAAAAATTTAGCTAATAAGTTCTAATTTCCTTTTGTAAGCACGTCAGACAATGTTTTAAACTTAACTATACAACGGAAATGGCGGATTTTTGGTATTCTTAAAAAATTAAGGCTAGATCAAAGTCTCTAAGTTAAGAACTTCCAATACCTAACCTTTATTTTATTAAATAAGACTTCCTTTTATCAGTCTTAGAAAAAAATTATCTCATGTACTTAGCTTCGTTTTATTCTACCAAAAAAAAAAAAAAAGAAGAAGAAGAAAAAGAAGAAAAAGGACTTTCATTTTAGAGTCAAGATTCGAGTTGTTAGGAAACTGCAGACTTGATGCTCATAATGGCCCTGGTACCAGAAGAGGGCACAGAACCATGATGGAGGATAGGGTTAATGGTGAGTGAGAACTTAAGGTTAGATATACTAGTAAGTAAATTTCATATTATAAATTAGATTTTAAATTTAGGTTTTTGAAATTAATATTTATATACCTTAAAATTATAATAAATAAAATATGAAAGTAATATTTCTAATTTTTTTTAACACGAATTCTTTAATTTTTAAACTTTTTTTTTTCATTATTTTTTAAAGTTTCTTACAACTTTTCTAGTTTTCTTACTTTCTCTAACTACCAACTTTTTTTTTTTTATCAAACATAACGAGTTAACTAATCCAATAATATTTTAATAAATGATTTTTCTATTCCTGTCTTAAAGCTAAGAGCATAGGATAAGGGTAATTATTGAGTAATAATTGTGATTTTTTTTTAAAGATATGAAATTAAAAATTAAAAAATAATTTATAAGTTTTAATTTAAATGAACCATAAAAAGTTAACATGTAGCATCTACAATTAAAATAAAAATTAACTTCATCATTATCAAAAAAAAATTAGTAATTATTAGCCACTAATTATTTCTTATTTTGTACCCTTAAATAAACTATTTAACGAAACTTCATTATAAAAAAATTTGAACTTTTAGTATAATACTTTGACTAATCACTTTCCTTAGAATTGGCTTTTAACCAAAACACCCTTAAGTTATTGCCATGATATTGTGTCATTGTGAGTTCATAAATAAAAATTAAACTCTAATTGTGTAAAGGCAAAACCCCTTCTTAAGCTCCCCAACTTACCCCAAATTGATACATAAGCCCATAATCGAAAAATGGTGTAAATAAACCCTTAAACCCCTTGAAATATGTAAATCAGTTCTCATTATTATTAGCCCAACACATGTGACTTCACATCGTCAATTCTTTTCCTTTGCTTGGTGCTATTTTTTCACATGGATCAAAAACCCCCTTGGGTGGTGAAAATCTTGCCAAAATGGTTCATGTAGATTGAGAACACTAAATAAAAAGAAAAAAAAAAAGAAAAAAGAAAAGAAAAGAGGTAACAT